ACAAAGGAAGCGATTCAATAAATAAAGGAGGATCGACGATTTATCTGGTCTACATGAATTTTATTTAAACTTTACTGCATGGCGTAGATAATTCGAGCGGCAATTGAAATGCGAGCTTTCCCGTTCATAAACTGATTATAATGTTTGTGACGTCGAAAGTTTGCGAAATTGGGAATTAATCGGATTTCCGTGACCCGATTCAGCGATGACAAAAATGACCGGAGGGCTGATTTCGGAATATTCCGGTGAAGTTATAGGAATTAGAAGAAGAATTACATGTGATAGAAAATATTTTATTCAACGTCTTTATACAGGGTGTGAATGAGCTCCAGGAATTCAGAATTGAAGGTATCCCACACCAGTGGCTGTGTAGTTTCCTCAATTCAAGAGACCAAGACGTTGCTCTACATGACATTACTTCCTTGGTACAGAAGATCGCCATTGGAGTTCCCCCCGGGTCAGTTTTAGGACCGATTCTGTTCATTTTATGAATGAATGATTAGGACAAATTATAAGTTCAGTCCTGTTCTACTATGTACGCTGATGACAAGTGATCTACTGCCATTTCAAATGTCAGTTACTGGTTCAGAGCAAATCTCCTAAATTATAACTTCGAGAAAATGTCAGAAACACTGTGAAAATATAATCATTTTGATCAATTCAATAAAAATATCAATACTGTCTCTCAAGTCAAGTTCTTAGGTCTTCACGTTGATAAGGGCCTTACATGGAGTACAGTCCGAACTGAATAGCTACTCGTATCAATTCCGAAATTATTATTATTATCATTATTATTGTTTTCATTTTAAATTCTTTTCTAACAAATTAATAATTTTGGACATGCTTTATTTCACTTAGAACGCCCGATCTGTCTATCAGCATTCATTCATTGCTTCGACACTCATCTTATCCATTTTCCGTAAATTTTCCATCATACACTTACTGAAATTTTCCGAGTTTTCACCGTTCCGAACCCACGCAATATCATTTCCTTTCCACTTTCAACTCGTTCACCCTTCCATTGTGAATATGTCGGAAATGGAAAAATGAATTTTTCGTAGAAGCATTAGGGATATTGTTCGTAAGTACTGGACGTTTTCACGAACTGTACGGTTTTTCCGGAAATGAAAAGTGATGGAAACTATAGACACATTCACTCGCAATTTCAAATGGAAATGACCACCCCGTAATTTTTTTTCTGTATATGTTAAAGAGACGTCTGATTTTCGTTTCGAAAATGATGGGCAGCATTATAACGACGTCTCCATTTTTCATGGAGATAAACCCCCAAATGTCTGCATTTGATAGGCAAGCGACTTTGTTTTATATTTTGTAGGGATTTCTCCATTCTTCTGAAAAATCAGAAGACATTAAGGCTATTACTCGACATTTTGTCTAAATTAACAATCCATCAAAACCCATAAAACCCCAAAATAAAGGAATGCTTCCTTTTTATACGGTGAAGTGGGTCGCAAAGTTTTTTTTTTGTTCTGGTAATGTCTTTTTTTTAAGCTACAGAAGAATCCCGAATTACCACCCTCATCTGATAAAACTCCCGGGAAATTAATAGTATGCTTTATATTCTTCCTGCTGACGAATATTGCGTTTTTCTTCTATTTCCTGCATTCCCATGGCTCAGTGCGAATAATAGTCTGATAAACAACATCAAATCTAACTCCAGATCCTCTGCAGACACTTTCAACTTTTTTTCATTTCTGCATTGTTAATTCGTCGCTGTTGATGTATGTTGCTTGCATGTTGTTTTCATTGAAATGTATACAGGGTGTAACATAAGTACATTAAAATATTCAAGTGACGTATTCCTGAGACAATTGGATTAAATTTACGTACACAAAAGTCGATACAATAGACAATGGCCGTTAGAGGTGCTTAGCCCGAACGCTGCAAAGGTTATTTATTATTTATTATTCATTTTACATGCAAATTTTAGGGATCGCGCGAGGGATGTTGAAAATTCGATTGGAAAACCGTGTTTCTCTTTATGAATTTATTATTAGATTCAGGGTGGAACATTTTTTTGGCAAATTCGATATTTTGTTGAAGTGTTCACGAGCTGACAATTTAAGCATTAATGATACAACTACAGGAAATGAAACAATTTCTGATAGACATTGAACGAAAGCCATTTTTGTGGAGAAAACGATAATAATAATAATAATGATAAAAATAATAATACAGCTTTTATTGGTTAAAACTGTTTTTCCGTCATGGTAAGTCCAAGGAAGAACATTTGGTATACAGGGTGGGACATCGAAAACTTGACCTGGAGGTTTTGGGTACTAATTTTGCAACTCCTAAAGAAACGCTCAGACAGGTCGATTTTTATTGGGAGGGAAATAGTTTTTTCCCCTATTTACAGCATCGTCACTTCAACCCCGGAGCAGAGGGGTGAACAACCCTTTGAATTTCAATAGGGAACTGGGAGCGAGTTGCACATCGTTTGAAAGATATTGGAATTCTCTAAACAACGGTGTACATTTTTTTAATTTGGACGAACCCTATTATACAGGGTGTACCTGAATAAGTGTAAAACATTCAAGGAGGTGATTCCTCGTAGAAAAAAGATAGGATCTATCTATTATAAGGATAATAAGACAAAAAGTTACATTGGAAATAAATTTTAGAAGAAGAAGATTTATTTGAAAAAGTAAAACTTGGATGTATATTATAAAACAAATAATTATTTGATGAAATTAACTAAAAAAAAACACTGTGTTGTATAGGTCAGTATTATATAGTTGATTTGTTCTTCTTGTCTCAATTTGTATATAGGCCAAACGCAAACAACTTTCTCCAAAAGAATATACGATCACTGCTGTAGTTTTTTTCTGGGGACAGCATCGATACGTAAGTACGAAATCATATCCAAAATATAAATTGAAAAAATATAATGCAACTCTTTCGCTGTTTGGAATAAATATGATGTTTTCTAAATAATTGAAAATTCATGAATTAAATTGAATACTCTCAGAAAAACATAGGTATTGCACTTTAGAAAGTAACATTTACACATGATTCTGAGCATTCTTGAGCATGTATTTTCCAAACCTTGACAATAATATTTCTATAGCTTCGAAATCGAATTAAACAAATCCAAAAAGTCCACTCGACGGTATTTCATCTGTAACCATAGATACCAATAACTGATTTGAGTATTTATGGAATTATTAACCATCGATTGGACTGAACATCAAACAATTTATTTTCCTGAAGGCAATAAATTGTGAATATATAATTGCTATTGTACCCAAGCGCGGTTATAATTGAAAACTACGTTCAGCAGGCGATACAGATGAACAAGGTAATTGTTTCAAAAATAGTTACATTATTTTGCAACTTTTTCATATTAAAAGGCAAACAAGGGAAATACAAATACATCTGAAAGATTGAGGTTATGGACTACAGAGGTGAGGATGATTACTATTCAACTACCTCTGACTTCAGCCTGTAACAGAGTTGTTCAGATAACACCTACTAGTTAAAAAGTCATATACGAATATCTTCCTTAAGCGGGTTTCACACCATGTATGCAGAATACTCGGTTTTCTGCATTGGGAATAACTGGAGCAATACAGAAAACTCGAGCAATACAGAAAATTGTGTTCTCAGCGTTGGAAACAACTTGAGCAGAGCAGAAAAGTCAGTTATCTGCGTTGGCAACAACTCGAACAATACAGAAAACTGAGTTTTCCGCGTTGGGAACATCTTGAGCAAAGCAGAAAACTCAGTTATAACTCGAGCAATACAGAAAATGGAGTTTCCTTCGTTGGGAACAACTTGAGCAAAGTAGAAAAGTCAGTTTCTCCGGTGCGAACAACTTGAGCAATACAGAAAACTGAGTTTTCTAAATTAGGAACAACTTGAGCGAAGTAGAAAACTCAGCTATCCAACAACGCAAAAAAGTCAGGTTTCTCTATTGGGAACAACTCGAACAATGCAGAAAACTCAGTTTTCTACGTTTGGACAACTAGAACAACGCAGAAATCTCAGTTATCTGCGTTGGGAACAACTCGAATAACGCAAAAAAACTGGAAATAACTCGAGCAATGCAGAAAAATCACTTTTTCCGTTGGTAACTCGAGCAATGCAGAAAATCCTGTTCAGTGCATTGGGAACAACTCGAAAAATACAGAAAACTGAGTTTTCTGCATTGGGAACAACTTGAGCAAAGCAGAAAACTCAGTTATCCAACAACGCAGAAATAGCAATGCAGAAAAGTCATTTAAATGCGTTGGGAACAACTCGAACAACGCAGAAAATTCAGGTTTCTGTATTGAGAACAACTCGATGACTTCAAACGTTACGTTCCCGACTTTGATATAGTCTACCACAGTAGTAGACGAAACTTCAGGCAAAAAAACCAGCAGACCTTGACAAGAAAACCGAAACATCGCTTAGACATATTGAATCTATCGGCAGAAAAGTTGATGAAGGAGCGATTATGACGGGATTTCTGTCGAATTTAGATTTATCGATTGCGACTCAAAAATAACATTTCTGGTACACAACGACTATTTTAACTGGAACTGATTTCATATTATTCCGAACAATATCATAACCTGGCGTCCACTGATTCATCCTCGATTTTACATGAAACTTAAAAAAAGGAAACAGGTCAACGATCCACTGCAAGATTTCAACTCTTCAAGTCGGGAAAATCCGGATACAAACCGATTCCAAGAAGCTAGCCATCGAAATTGCCAATATAGATTCGAGCAATTTCCTTTAGCAAAACACACAAACATACCAATATCACTCGAAACAAAATCCCCTAAAATCCTACCCACCTATACGTCTATCGACCAAGAAGACATCCACTCCGGAATCGGATCCGATGGCCAACGACACCGCATAATCTCTTATAGAACCGAGAAATAAAAACCGCCCACTCGAAGGAGATTTCTCTACAGCGAGTGTTCCCATTACAATCCCAACGCCTTAATCCTAGTGCTTTTATCCCTCGTCTCGAGTATACTCACGTCTAGCAGATGCATCAGGGAGGCTCTAGAGGGCGCCTGAAGACGCGTCATATCCGTCAGTACTTGACACAAATCGGCACTCAAACGGGAAGTGGCAAAGTGGCTGGTCAGGGCGACCCTCTTCACGGTCTCGCCCAGGGCAAAGATCCACATCTGGAAGGCGAAAGTAAATGAAAATCAAATTTATACTGTCTTCAACTATAAGGTTGGGTCGGAGGTATTTTTGTAGCTCCATATCTCAACTGACATCTACTTTCTCGTGGTAGTTACTAATCGATAAAGAATTTTGTACTTCATAACGGGTGATTTTTTTAGGAGGTAGGTATGGGATTTGATTTTCAAAACAACACAAAAAATTTGAAAAAATTGATGAAATCTTTGTTGGAATCGATAGAACGATCACTATAATTTAATATTTGAAGATGATTTCATGCAAATGTTGTCCGCGGCTCCGCTTTAGATGGTCCATGTGCAAGGTCCAATTTTGGCACACTCTCTTTAACATATCGACCGGTATTTCACGCCAAAGGCGTTAAATCACTCGATCTAGGCGGCCAATTGACGGGCCCCAAACGTGAGATGAACTGTCCACCGAAGGCGGCACTTCATTGGGCCATTGTTTCGCGTGCCGTGTGGCATGTGGTACCGTCTTGTTGAAACCACATGTCAGGCATGTCCAATTCTTCCATTTTGGGCAACAAAAAGTCATCAATCATCACACGGTAGCGCTCGCCATTCACAGTAACGTTCCGGCCATTGTCGTCTTTGAAGAAGTACGGCCCGATGATGCCACCGACCCATAATCCGCACCAAACAGTGACTTTTCGAGATGCATCGGTAGCTCTTGCAATGCTTGTGGCTGGTCTACACTCCAGATGCAGCAATTTTGCTTGTTAACGTATCCATTCAACCAGGAATGAGCCTCGTCGCTGAACACCATTTTCCGATAAAGATATGGGTCTTCCTCCTACTTTGCCAGCGCCCATTCACCAAATGTTAGACGTTGTGGGAGGTCGTGTGACTTCAATTCTTGCACCAGCTGTATCTTATAAGGTTTTACACTCAAATCCTTTCGCAAAATTTTCCACGTAGTGGAGTAACAGAGGCCTAATTGCTGCGAACGGCGGCGAATCGACATTTCACGGCCATCACGAACACTGGCGATTACAGCCACAATATTTTTTTCGTTCCTCACTCTACGTATGCGTGTTGGTGGTTCAATGTCCAGTAATGTAAACTGGGTTCGAAATTCAGTCACAAGCTTCCGAATAGCTCCCTCAGTAGGCCGACGAAACTGCCCATGAATTGGAAGAAGTGCACGATACACTTTCTTCACCAGCATGAATGTTGATAATAAAATTCAATGATTTGCATGCGTTGTTCATTCGTAAGTCGATTCATGGTTAAATGACCAAACTGAACAAGGTTGACAATGACACAAGACAGTGTTGCCAAAAAGATAACATCAAAAAAATCACTCATTACATTGACGATATTTATTTTTTTCCAAATTTAATTTTTTTGCCACTTTCCAGCTTATCAGCAAAATCTACTCAAAATTTCTCTCAGATATACAGTGTCACCATTAAAGTGCGCACCATATGGGAAACTATTTTTTCGAAAAGTTTCAATGAAGTTTAAATTCGGCACTTGTTTAGGCTTTAAATTTAACTTAAAATGATGCGGCCAACTGCGACCCACTGATGTTTAGTGTTTGTCAAATTTAACTTTTTTTTTGAAAAAAACTGAAAAAGTGCAAAAAGTTACTTGAAAAAGTTGTGTCTACGTTACTCACAGCGCGAGAAGATTTTGTAGCGAGAGAAACTCAAACTCCAAGCGAGATGAGCGTTTTGAGCCGACAACTTACGGGCGATATGTTATAGCCAGAGACTCGAACTCCAAGCGAGATAAGTGTTTTGAGCCAACTACTCACAGCGCGAGAAGATTTTGTAGCGAGAGAAACTCAAACTCCAAGCGAGATGAGAGTTTTGAGCCGATTACTTACGGGCGATATGTCGTAGCCAGAGACTCGAACTCCAAGCGAGATGATCGTTTTAGGCCGACAACTCACGATGCTAGGAGATTTCGTAGCGAGAGAAATTCGAACTCCAAGCAGGATGATCCTTTTGAGCCCACTACTCACGGGGCGAGATTTCGTAGCCAGAGACTCGAACTCCAAGCGAGATGAGCGTTTTGAGTCAACTACTCACAGCGCGAGTAGATTTTATAGCGAGAGAAACTCAAACTCCAAGCGAAATGAGCGTTTTGAGCCGACTACTTACGGGCGAGATGTCGTAGCCAGAGACTCGAACTCCAAGCGAGATGAGCGTTTTGAGTCAACTACTCACAGCGCGAGAAGATTTTGTAGCGAGAGAAACTCAAACTCCAAGCGAGATGAGCGTTTTGAGCCGACTACTTACGGGCGAGATGTCGTAGCCAGAGACTCGAACTCCAAGCGAGATGAGCGTTTTGAGTCAACTACTCACAGCGCGAGAAGATTTTGTAGCGAGAGAAACTCAAACTCCAAGCGAGATGAGCGTTTTGAGCCGACTACTTACGGGCGAGATTTCGTAGCCAGAGACTCGAACTCCAAGCGAGATGAGCGTTTTAGGCCCACTACTCACGGGGCGAGATTTCGTAGTCAGATATTTGAACTTCAAGCGAAATGAGCAAGCCTACCACTCACGGGGCGAGAAGATTTCGTAGCTAGAGACTCGAACTCCAAGCGAGATGAGCATTTTAGGCCCACCACTTACGGCGCGAGATTTCGTAGCCAGAGATCGAACTCCAAGCGAGATGGGCGTTTCAGTACCTCCATTCATGATGCGAAAAGATTTTGTAGCGAGACAAGGACCCGAACTCTAAGCAAGATGAGTGCTTTAAGCTCACCAATCAGATACTGTTACTGACGACTATAGTACACAAATCAGTCAAGGTTTAAATATCTCACTTCGAGAAAAAACCGTGTCCTTGTGGAATAACCTCAACAATTCAAAACGTTAATTTCATACAGGCACTGTTTCTAGAGCGCTTCTATGATTTCTCATAAGCCTTGTGTCTATTTAATGAAATATAACTCCTTTTATGAACCTTCAAAATTGCAATTACCTACATGCCCCCGTGATTTAGTTGCATTTGAGTTTGATAAACGCTAATAAAGAACCCAAGTTTCCTTCAATGGACACGTTAGTTAGTTCGCCTTAATCGAATTTTCCGGCGATTGAGTTATATTTCCTCGAACAAATCGAAGTTGTGTGAGAAAACTACGACACCAAGTTGCAATTTACAAAGTGGTTTTCTCGAGGATACGGGACCAAAAGTTCACCCTCCAATAAAATACAATATGTCGATGGCTTAGCGGTGCAATAATCTGGATTTATTTTATTTGCCAGAGTCGATACTTTTCTTCTTTTTTCGATGTTTATGAGAAATGTCTGGTTCTTTATGAAGTTACTACATTCTTCCAATAGAGTGGAAAATGTGGCGGTGGATTTCTTTCTTGGAACGTTGTTGGGGATAAATTGCTTCCGAATGAGGGTTATTCCCTCGTCTGTTGAAATTTCGTCGAAATAAAATAAGTATAGGAATAAATCAGGGAAAACTTTCAGGAGTTCTAAGATGTTTTGAGTTTATCGAAGAGACAGATTTCTCATATACTGATTATAGACAGGAGGAAAGGAGTTTTCTTCAGGGGGAAGGTTTATCTTCAGTGATATAGAACCTTGTAATATACGAGTTTCTACGTCTCCTTGATGTGGCAACAATGTACACGCCGCTCCTCTCGTGTGATTTCTTCTTCAGTTGCAGTGGATTGATTCGCAATATTCCGCAGTCTATATTGCTCACTTTGATTCTATTACGAGACAAATATTATTCATGCTTGCACTTTCACAAATGGCATAACCTTAATTATTATTTTTTGAGAAAGAAAGTTTTTGGCTTTCTACTACTCCATCTGATACAAAAAAAAGGGATGAGAGAATCTTCCATTATATAATTATTATATTTGCCAGCACCATGACATATGCCATAATTTAACAAACCAACGGTCATAAATGTACTGACCCGTAACTTGATGGAAATTTGGGAATGTATACTTTGTTTTTTATATTAGGGGAAAAGCAGAAAACAGAAAAAGAAATAGGTACATGATTATGATTATTAGCCAATAAAAGAATTTGAAAAGTAAAAAACGAGATGCACAGAAAAAACTGGAAAAAGAAATCTCAGTAGTACGTGAAAGTTTCTTGAAAATATGTATTGAATGGTAATTCATTGACATGGGAAATGATTATAATACCTACTGAAATAAAAAAATATTATTACCAAACTATTATTAGACTATTATGAAAATCTATAAATACCTACCTACTTGATATAGTCGATGTAAACGGCTGTTAATGTCCAGTACATCTGTATGTTTCAAAATTAATTGTTTCATTAATATTTTTTTGAATATCCATTCTGTGTTTCTGCCCCAATTAAAATAAATATTTGTTAGCAACTAAGAACTTATTTTAGAAGTCCTACACTGTAAAGTCGATCTTTTTTATTAACCGGTTCCATGGTGTAATGGTTAGCACTCTGGACTTTGAATCCAGCGATCCGAGTTCAAATCTCGGTGGAACCTACTTTTTTTTATTTCTCCTAATCTGATTCAAACTTTAATCAACAAAATCAACTGATATCATAATATTTCGAGTGGAAAAAACCACGTGTACTGTTGGAATCGTTTATTATATTATTTTAATGTTAATATTTTCTCTGCCTATACGTTTTGTTTTGTATCTATTGTATCCAGTTGAGTTCAGTTGTTAATATAATATTAATAAAAAGTCATTACGAGAAAAGTCAAAACCTATTTTTAAAACGATAAAATAATAAGAATCCATCCCATTTACAACATTTGGCGACCGTGACAGGACATAAAAGATGGATAGTTTGAAGAAAAATAGGCAGCAGTTGAGNATCTATACTCTGGCGCCATATAACCAGCCAGATGTCGGGGGGCTCCCCCACCTTTCACGCTATGATTGATGCACAACTTGACTCTCCCCCTAGAAGACAAAAGCAGTGTTGAAGGGGTCACGAGAGGAATGCACGAGGCGTTAGCAGTGCCATCTGTAAAAAAAAATATTGAATCAATATTTCTG